AATATTCATTTATTGTCGGTAATCAGGGATGAATTCATTGTAATAGTATTTCCATAACACTTTGAATTATATAAAGAGATAAACAACATATTTACTATAGATGACTAAACAAGTAAAAAATGACTTAATTATATTGTATGATATATGTAGAATTATACTATAACCTTCATTTGTAGATGGCTAAACAAGTCATAAATGACTAAGTTAAATTATATTAGTTGTTAGAATACATAATTTCTGTCATGAATTGAAAATCTTTAGACTCATTACATAGTAATCTACATCGTAGCACACACAACAATATTCAAGTGAACACGCTAGTCGTAATCTACTATTAGGACTTCAAGTGTTTTTTGCGTAATAGGACAAACACATCTTGTCTAAAATATTTTGACCCATGACATAATAATCCAAACTACTGCACACTTATAAACTCAATATCAATTAGCCAGAAACATTTCAAAGAAGTATAACTTGGTTGAGCTGGTAAGTACTTCAGCATGGCTCCGATGTACCCCCTATTGATTTTAATGTACCAATTCTTATCAAATTATGTACCCATGCTCTGCTTTCATGTAAATAGAAAATATAACATTATGACATAAGTGGGTAATTGTGTACCTGCATACTTTAAATGAATGCCCGAAGTGTATGAAACTGTAATCAACACAGATTTACTATAGATTGTTAAACAAGTAATGAGTGACTAGGGTAAGTTATGTTGATTGTTACTCATATACCACTGTTCCCATGGATTGATTGGTTATTTAGACCTATTACCCAGTAATACACACCGTAGCACACAAAACAATATTTGGTCTACAAAGGTAGAGAGAGGAAGTACTCTCACCGAGTTCGCGCATTGGACCCCCTGCATGGGATTGACTAAAATAAATTACATTTGAAGATACCTGGTACTACAAATCTAATGCCTATGAAATCATTATTTATATCTCTTATATTGAGGTTTATACTCGGCTCACATGGTTACATACCAGAATCATAAATGTAAATACCCTATATAAGATATTACGTACCTACAATAACAATCAAATATATACTTCAGTTACGATTACATATGCTCTGGTAACCTATAGCGGGAGAATATGCATTTTTGCTTAAAATATTCACTAAATGACAGTAAACATGAATGAATTCAACCATGGTAGTATTTCTCGTAACACCCCAAAGTGTATGGAAAGATAAACAATACATATTTACTATTAATGGTTAAACAAATCATAAATAATTAGTTAATTTGTATGATAATATTCCAACCTTGACTTGTAAATGACTAAACAAGTCATGAGTAAGTAAATTAAATTATGTTGGTTGTTAGTATAAATGACTGATGTCATAAATTGAAATTCATTAGACTTATTATGATTAATCCAAATTGTTTCATACACAACAACATTTGGTTAGGAGCATACTTGCATAGCGCATGACTCAACTAGATAGGCAAATGCTCCAAGCGGGTCTGCCATACCCCCAAACTCGCATGGTGTACAAAATCCTAGTAATTGTGTACCTTCTGTAGTCTAACGTGTAACTGAACAATGTAATCTTATGGCAAGGTTTTCGAATTGTGTACCTTCATGGCTCCATTTAATGCATGTAAGGATTTAACATATAACCTTCATAGATTCCGAAAAAGATTAAGACTTAATCCTCATTTGTATGTTTCTAACCGATATGACATGATCAACACAGCATGTTCGTGTACTTTATGTCACTGCGATTATTAATTATCAAGACCACACTGATATTGTTGGGACAGTAATACGCTACCACCAAATGTGCTTCGATAGATCAACTAAATACTCCCCCAGATAATTCGTGTGTCTCTATTCATTTATTTGAAACCTGTGTCATTGAATTATCATACACAAAGGAGAACTGTCACATACCCGTTGTTCATGTTCATATACCATCAGAATATCCAAATTACAACAACAATTCTGTACAATTTGAATCTTGCTATTGTATATTTACCTTCCACATTACATTTTTATCAATTATGCCAAATGTAATTACACACCAAAAAGGACGTTTAGAACAAAAACAAAAATTACACTTCAAAAGGCCTACAGTACCGCAGCTTTACAATTTCTTTTGACGTGCCCGAGACAACCACAACGTCCACATTTTCGTGACTATTTTATTTGCTGCGAGTCATAGCATCATTTCTTCGATTCACATTACAATACGTCTTCTCCTTGGAAACAAAATCATGAATAACTCTGTCGAGCTACATCTCGATGTCTTCTCAACATTCTGCCAACTCATCGTCTTTCAAACCCTCTGCGCCTAACCGTGTCTCCCCACCGCTGCATAAACATTAGGAAGATAACACATACGTCTCATTATTCCGTTCCAATGCCACAACACCCGCTCCGTCACCACCTCCCTGTCGCCACAACACCCGCTCATCAATGCCCTCAAACTCGCCGCCTCCTCCGACCTCAATGGCATCATTTGAATCAATTTTTTTCCCTATCCGACAAGCCCCACCCGGCTTTAAAAAATTGATAATGCATTCAAAATGCTCGATCTTGGGCACGACGTCATACACATCTCGCAAAGTCCTCACCAAATCCAATCCTTTAATCGCCATATCCAAATATATACATCCCACGAGAGAAAAAGTAAACGTCACCCTATCGAGATGAATTCCCGAGTCCTCCATCCTCGAAAACAAATTGACATCCTTTTTTTCCTGCAACATTTGTTGCAAGCCTGGAGATCATAGCGTTCCGTGTTATTATATCTCATTCAGGCATTTCGTCGAACATCTTCTCAGCAAAATAAATGCAGCCATATTTCGAGTATATATTGATCAACACATTGCCCAATTTAATATTCGATCGAATCTCCAATTTCTCAAAAAAATTATGAACCCAGACACAATCCCAACAATCTGTGTCTTAGTTTTGAAAAAAAAAACTGAAAAAAAGGGTTAGGAATTGCGTTGAGTCTCATCTTATTTCAAAATTTGAGGATTTCATCCATAGCTCTTGTCTGATTTCCTGATTCTAACTCTATATCGGAAAAATCAATCACTACAACTATAAGGTTGTGCTTACTTGGGTTCCGATGACATTGCTCAATTTTGACTTCCCGGCGGCTAGCCTCCATGGAAGAAAGAAGCGTATGTAAGATTTAAGTGGCTGCCGGTATTGATTGATACTATGGTAAACTATCAAAAAATTAAGCGAGAGAAATCGAATAATCGTGTGAGGGTAAGCGGAGGAAGAAGGCGATGAAGGTAAAAAAAAAAGAAACAGGGAGTTAAAACAAATATTATATGTAAAGTAGAGATTGCAGTTCAAACAAAAGGGACTGAATCTAAAGTTCATTATGCATTTTGGGACTTTTATCCAATTATCCATTAAAATAATTAATTAGTATAATTAAAATTAAAAAAATTATAAATTAAATTTTTAAAAATAAAATTAAAGTGTATAATTATTTTCCAAAAAGGGAAAGTGATAAAATAAGTGGGACGAACGAAAAATGGAAAAATGGATATGAGAAGTGGGACGAAGGGAGTATATTACTGAAAGCTTTTTTTTTTTTTTTTTTTCTTACAAAAAATATTACTATATCTTATTTATAATTTTTATTCAAAATATATATTACACTAATATTTTTTTCATATACTAAAATAAAAATATAATAATAATATAAATAAACACACTCTAACTTGTTGAAGAAATAAGTGCTCACTAATCACTTAATTAAATCCGGATACTGAATTAATTATTTTTATACAGTAATTAAAAAGAATTTTTTTAAACATTTATTTATTTAATTTATTTGTACTGTAATTTTCAAATATTTTACTATTAAATACTCCTTCCGGACTAGAAAGTATACATATTTTTATTTTGGAACAAATAAATATTTTATTAAATACCTTATTTTTTTTCACAAATACTCCTACTTTACATCACATCGTTATTTTTACACAAAAAAAAATGGCAAAAATATCAATATACTACTTTTAACTGGCCAAAAGAAATTGTATATTTTATGTATGGACGGAGGAAGTATAATATATATTTCATATTATCCCAGTTCACAAACTAACGTCCTACTTTCTTATTTGAAATGTACAACAATTATTGTTGTATTTCTATTTTTATACATCCTTACTTTATTTGGGAGAATTATTATCCTACTTTCCTATTTAGGAGAATTAACAGACTTTATTTACTTTTTTTTTCTTTACACAAAATAAAGGACAAATTTATCATTTTATAATAAAAACTTTAATGACTTAAAAATACGTGTAAATATCAAATAAGGCATTAAAAAATAGACCAAAAGAGTACCATTTATATCTTGTTTTATATTTAATTTTAATAATAAAAAGTACCTGAAAAATAATTCTACAATTTTTTAGCTTTGGTATAGGTCGAAACCGGGTTGGGGAGGTCCGGAAAAAAAGGAACCAGGCCAGTTTTTTGTTTTATATATATACATATATATATATATATATATTTGGTAATCTATTGCGCTTCTATAGCTTCTATTATAATTGCTCACTCTAAGAGTGTATTTACTTGTTGAATTTTTATATTGACTTTACTATTTTAATTTTCTTTTTTCTTCTAAAATATCAAATCAAACACTCATTTTTTTTATTTATTTTATTACATTAAAATTTAATTTTACATTCAAAATATCACATGAATATATATTTATATCACATCAATTAATTATTTCAATTAAAAATTTGACTATTTAAAACTAAAACTAAAAATTATAATCTTACAAGTGAACAGACCTGGGTGTCAATTTGTGTTGAAATAAACATTGGATATTCAATTCGGTGAAACTGTAAATGTTGGTTGAGTTTGATTCGGGAATTTGGATTTGGGTGACTTGTTTCAGATCTAAACCACTCTAATCGGAATTGCTTATTTGTAATTCATTGAGGTTTATTCTTCTAAGATTATTATGCAATAGTAACTAGTTAGTTTATTGCTCAATAATTCAAACATTTCCAATTTCCAAACAAGGTCCAACTTGTTCCATTGTTTATTACAATCGTATTATGCCTTGTAGTGAAAGATGGAGTATTACTCCTACAAAGACAAGCAATTTCTTCTAGAAAAATGGCAATATTATTGTTGTGGTTGTTCATTGCAAGATTATGAATCCCCTGCCCTCCAACATGGCATTGCTTTTGTTCTTTCTGAAGCCGCAAATGTTACATTACAAAACAAACGCGCCGCTTACAAGCACTAGTGTATATATATATATATCATATGAACTTGAAGAAAAGATGTATAGGTAGGTAGGTTTCAAAACATTCTTGATTGCAGCATATCATCAAATCATTCCTACTGCAGTGCTTGTTGTCTACCTCTCTCAATTCCTGCACTATTAGTTAAAGCTCCTCTGAATTGAACTTGCTCCAAGCTTCCTGCAGACGCAAAAACACATCAACACAACTGATCAATGACCCGACCTACCATCATTCATACATACACAAAAATTCATGGATAATTTAGTGTATCATCTGAAATATATAATTTGTATAATATATATATGTTACACAAAAATGTGAGTCCCTCATGCATGTATTTTTTTTTCCAATATTGTGAACTTGCATGTCAATATGATCGTGCATTCTACTTACAATTAAGGATCCATGTCACAAGCAAACATACTAAACCGGTCACATTTAATATATTAAATAGAGTTCACAAACATAAACATGTGAAAAGATCATAGTTTCATGAAGCAATCTTGCCAATCTTTATATTTGAAGATTTTATTTTATTTTTTAAATTTGTCTTTTTGTGATGTGGCTTGGATCGTTTAGGACCTCAAATCAACGATGGTATGCTTTTGGGTTTTTTTTTTCTTAAGATTTATGCAATTATTCCTACTTTGGGTGTACTTCTTTTGGGATTTAGGTTTTCCAAGTTTATAAATGTGTTATTTCATCATTTTGCATTCAACTTTTCATTCTCTTTGTAAAATACTGTCAATTTTGATCAACATTTATCTCTTCTTCAGCTATCTCAGTTCGTGCATCGACATTAATTAGCATTAGAGCAACACGTTCCCTGGCAGTGACCGAACAAAACTATGGTCGTGGATATGGTGGTCAGGGTCAAGATGGAAGGAATCATAGTGCAGACGTCCTTGCTGATGAGGCTGCCCGTCCGCAACGTGATTTCTGCAAAGTGGAAAATGACAACTTAAAGAGGCAAGTCTAGAAACTCGATGAACACAAAGCAATTTTGGAGGCTAAGATGGATGCAGATGGTGATTCTGTAAACCTTTCAAATAATGAGGATGAGTCAGAAGAAGATGATATCAACCCTTTTGTACAGGACCATTGGCGAGGGACTCTTCCAAATTTCGGATCAAACTTATCCTTCAATATGCAGATTTAGAATTTGAGGGTTGCACCATCTCGATGAGTTTATGGATCGGGTGGATACCATGTGTAACGGGTTGAATGGTTTCTCCTCAAATACCCTCCAGTCGGCATAACAATTCCTCAACACTCATGAAAACCTAACGTATAGCCTCACACGCAAGCACATAATATGCAAAGCAAGCAAGCACAAGGTTCACTCTTATTCAGTAAAGTGTATACTGCTCTCAAATTTATGGTGGTTTACAATGGGGTGTTCCCCTATTTATAAACTCTATAACAAACCGGTCCAAAACATAAGCTAAAGTATATCCATAATCGGATAAGCTGTCTATTACAAAAAATAGGAATAAGTCTAGATTAAGTCGAACGGATAGACATCTAACTCAGTCAAAGGGTAATCTAGGTGCTCCGGGAATGTTCCAGGAGGTTCCATTAGCCTTCGCCTCCTAGCCGCCTCTTCATGGCTCCCTAGGTCATAGCTTTAGTTCCAGGCAATATTTCGGTCATCTCAGGGCTTTGCCTCGGTCATCCTCGACCATATGTTTGGTACGTGACATTCCCCCCCCCCCCCCCCAACTACTTGAAGTAGACATCATCCTCGATGCCTTGAATTCCCGTGTTGTTGATAAGTAAAGATGAAGATGACAAAGAAGTGAAGAATGATGGTCATGACTGTGCTTATCCAGTGTATACAAGTTCGCAGCATCATCAAGCTGCTCTTACCAAGTTTGTTACAAGTCTGTTAATTTGTTGTAGTGTTGCAGTGTTGTGTGGTCCTTCATTTTAATTTTTTAAATTTGTCTAACAGAATATTCCAGTGGTCCTTAGCTTGCTTATAAATCTCAGTTGGAGATTGTAGATGCAAAGGACGTTTCTGCTATATACAAAATAATTTCTTCTTCTCAATTCTCTATTTTGTGTTTGTCTTTGTTCTGTGGTTATGAAGACTGTACAATTCTATTTGTTTGTTCATGATATCAAAGTATGGTAATGATTCATTGCTCTTCATGACTTCCAACAACGAATCAACAACTGAACACCACCACCAACAACAAACATTTCAGCCATATGAGGCCACCAATACTAGCAGCTCATTCTCTCTTCGCTGCTCAATCAAGCCTTCCAGAAGCTCTGCAATTATCTAGTGGTGATTAACCAAATCTAGCTCTATCCTCAGTTCCTCTTAATGGCGCCAACTACTTTACATGGTCACACCGGGTCCTCAATGCTCTCATTGCAAAAGAGAAGTGGATTTATTATTGGAAAAACTCCAAGGCCACGCAAAACCATAGTTGTCAATCACGGATAGCAGTGCCTAGTGGTTAATATCTAAAATGCTATAGCGGAATAGCAGATAGCGGTATGACCGCTATTTAAATATTTAAGAATATATATATATATTTATACAAAATTATAACAAAAATACAAAAGAAAAACCTATAAATTAATATCATAATTATCACCCAAACTAATAAAATGTCAAAATATATATATATGATCATAACTATTAGATAGTTATATAAGCAAAACAAATTAGATCACTATTGTATAATAGAGATATATTCAAAATTTTATTCCTTTATTACTTAATTATTTTTGTCTATATTTTTTTTTCCCTCTTCTTCATTCTCATCAATTTATTCACCTTGTATAATATCATTTTCCTTTTTAGAGCTAGAAGTACCTGTAGCTTTCTTTCTCATTGATGTATTGATGTTTGTATCTTAGTGTAGATAACAGACCTATTAGCATCAACAACTCCCCTGGTCAAATTATCATTGTCAAAAGACTAACTTATCCTTCGCAATTATCAACTTTTTTAATTAACCACTCATTGGAATCATTCAAAACAATAGGACCAATCATATAATTGCTACCATAATGATCTAACAAATTTTGGTTATACTTGATATAAATCAAATTTTGCAACTTTTGGCTTTCTAATTTGTTTATTTTCTCTAAATGAATTTAAAAATTTAATTTAAGATTTAAGATAAATATTTTTTTTGTCTATATTATAATAAAAAAGTACATTTTATAAGTTTAAGTTAGATTTCAATTATTTACCTGTCAAAAAATAATCCAATTAGCTACAATAGCGATATAACGTAACATAACGGAGTATTGCTACAGGCTGCTACACCGCTATTGCGTAAATGCGGAACTGCAGAGCGGCCGTAGCAGCAGAGTGCCTTTCCGCTACGCTACGCCGCTATAGCTCGCTATTGACAACTATGCACAAAAATGATCCAGAACATGAAGCTTAGGTGAAGGTTGTTGCCTTAGTCAAGACTTGAATTATCAACTCGATCAGTCCAGATATACAAGGTGCATTTATATTTGTATCCATATCCCAGGCTCTTTAGGAAACTCTCAAAGAGAATTATAGACAGTCAAATGGAAGCTTGATCTTCCAGCTACAAAGATCAAAATCATCCCTCAAGCAAGGAAGTGATACCATAGCCACATATGCCACTCGTCTACATGAGCTTTGGCAAGAACTTCTCACGGTGGACACTCCGGTAGAATGCTCCTACGGTTCATGCACCCGTGGGATTCACAAAAAATTGACAAGCAAAATGAATTGTGACACGGTCATTCAATTTCTGACAGGATTGAATGACAATTTTGAAAGTGCCCGGGGGTCAGATTTTGATGATGGACCCCTTATCCAACATGAGCAAAACATACTCAATGGTTGTGCAATATGAGAAACAAAAAGAAATTTATATAGCTACAGAACACAATGCCTTGGCTATTCCCAAGCACTTTAAGGCTTCCAAATCCTTAGCTGAAAGAACGAAGATGCAATAAGAGAAAAGGAACATGATATGCGAATTCTGCAAGAAAAAAGGGGCATGGCATGGAAGGGATATATGTTTTTCCTTACATGGTGTACCTTCTTGGTTCAAGGAATTGGAGGAAAAGAAAAGCCAACAACCTGGTGATTGATCAGAAGGAGAAAAATAGAGCTGGTGCTGGTAATTCTGTGAAGAATACTTCATCTATTCCTGATTTTGCAGCACTCATCAGAGCTGAACTTCAGAAGATAATGCAGCAAAATATAGGTGACATCACAACCAGACAAAATAGCTCAAACATCGAATACTCAGGTAATTTCTCTTTTGTGAATAATTTGAGTATTGGTGACACTTCTTGGTTAATAGACAATGGAGCATCATGCCATATATGCAAAAATGCCAACATGTTTACCTCCTTGAAACCTCTCCCCTAAAAACCAAGAATATACCTCCCTGATGGCTCTCACCTAATAACTGAGTTTGAAGGAGCTGTTACCATAGCTTCTGCAATTACTCTCCATTGTGTATACTTTATCCCAGATTTCACCTTCAACCTATTGTCTGTAAGCAATCTCCTAAAACACACTAACTACACTCTTGTGTTTTCAAAAGATAAATGCCTTGTATAGGACCAGAGATCTAGAATCACTTTGGCCACTGGATATCAAATGCTGGATATCAAATGCAAAACCTCTACATCCTTCTTGGCTCTTCTCATTCTGTTGTTGCTGCCGTAGAAGATTGTGCTCTCTGGCACTTTCGACTTGGCCACATCTCTGCCAGCAGATTGAAACATCTACCATTTGTTTCCCAATGTGATATCAAGCCATGTGATACTTGCCATAAAGCTAAACAGCCTAAACACTCATTTAATAAAAATGACTCTTGTGCCGCTTCTATTTTTTAGTTGATTCACATGGACACGTGGAGTCCTTATCAAACAACTACTCTAAATGGTTGCCATTATTTTCTGACTATTGTTGATGATCATTCTAGAGCTATATGGACTTACCTTTTGCACAATAAACAAAATGTTAATCCAAGTCATTGAAGCGTTCATCTTGTATGTTCAAACTCATTTCGAAAGTCCAATAAAAGTCATCAGATCTGACAATGGATCTGAATTCTTGAATTCTAAATGTAAAGCCCTGTATGCCAAATATGGCATTGTCCACCAACACTCATGCCCTCACACACCCCAACAGAATAGAAGAGTAGAGATCAAACACA